CTCTTCTTCTGATCTTTTTTTAGTTCTATTTTTGTTGAAGTTTTAGCTCATCAACTTCATGGTTTGGCATTGGAATTGTGCTAGTGCTTTGTGCCACAATAGCTGGCGAACCAAAGGAGTGCATTACTATAATTTACCTACAGATTTCGAGCTAAGACATAAATATGCGAAAGTCCTGAAGAATGACAATGTAAACTGGAACAAACAAGTAATCTGTTCAGCACATTGGAAAGGAGGTAAACGATTGTCGAAAGATCATGTCCCAGACATCACCTGCAGTGAGGAACAAGTGAAAAAATTCAAAAAGGCCAGTGAAAAGCGACCAGAAAACACCGAAATAAAGAAAAAATTGGTATGTGCCGAAAGAACGAGAAAGCAAGACAGCCGGATTAGTTTGAAACGAAAAGCGCCTACAGATCGATCAACAATACAACCTATAAAGAAGAAGAGAAGAAAATCATATAGGAATTTGGAGAAAGAAGTCGTAAAAGTAAAGGCAGAGCGTGATCAGCTTAAAAATCAGCTTAGATTAGAAAATCAACATTTGATTTCACAATTGGGCACACAATTGTCTGAACTGAAGAGACTGGAAAAGGAAATCGATGCGTTACAAGATAAACTTCAATCACAGACAAGTATCTTTGAAAAGAAACTTAAAGAAATGAAGTTTGAACTCAGCAAGAAAACATTTTCTTACAAATGTTTAATTCAGAATGCTAAGGAWTTTTTCTACCTATGTGGCTTAACTACAAATGAATTTGATTGTGTTTTCGCTTGTCTTGAACCATTCACTCACTTATTGATTTACCCTGATTGTATCCATAAAGACAAGAATAAAGATTTTAATAACAAGCTTCTTGATGAGAAAACTGAACTTATTGTRGCTTTGACGATAGCAAGACACAGTGTTAACCTTGGAGTTATGGCAAAGCTAGTTGGAGCAAGTGCATCTACAATGTCAAGAGTGTTCGTTGCATGGATGGTTTTAATACGTTGCGTTTTTGAAAGCATAAATCTAAAGCCATTGCCTGGTTTTATTGAAGCTTTTCTGCCGAAKAAATTTGTTGATGCTGGGTATTCAGAATGTGGCAWTCTTGGTGACAATACTGAGACATGGGTAAGTCAATTTGAAAACTATGAAATCAATAATATAACATTTTCTCATTACAAGAATCACACAACGGGAAAAGTCTCTGTTTGGATATATCCACATGGTTCACTCTGCAAGTGCTCTGATGCATATCCTGGAACAATCTCTGATGMACATATCACAGAGCAAATTGAAGTACTAGATTTATGTCCAAAAGGAAAAATTGTCATGACAGACAAAGGTTTTGCAATCACTGATCTGTGCCATGATAAGGGCCTTCACCATAACAGGCCACCAATRAAGTTCAATGAACAATATGATGAAAATGAGGTAAACTTAAACTTTGACATTGCCACCCTCAGGATATAYAATGAAAATGCAATTGGTCGTATCCGTGATTGGTCCATATTGAACACGTGCTGGCCTGCAGGGAGAGTGGACCTCCTAGGCACTTGCTGGATTGCACTGGCACATGTTGTTAATGTTAC